GGGGTCACAGCCGGTCGTTACCGGCTATGTCCCGGCGATTAGCGGCAATCACTGACAGAGAGCACAGCTGCAGTAGCTCCTGACACGCTGATCAGGACAGAAGTTACTTTCACACAAAGCAATCAATATACACTTATTGGGATTTTTTTTTACCAAAAACATGTAGCAGAATACATTTTGGCCTAAAAAAAATTTATAACTAACTTTGAGTTTACTATATATTTTTTTATAGCTGAAAGTAAAAAATATCATTTTTCTTCAACATTTTTGGTCTTTTTTTGTTTATAGCGTGAAAAAAAAAAAGCGCACAGGTGATCAAATACCACAGAAAGAAAGCTCTATTTGTGTGCACAGGTGATCAAAAAAAAAGGACGTAAATTTCGTTTGGAAGCAGCATTGCATGACCGCACAATTATCAGTTGAATTAGTGCAGCGCCGAGTAGCAAAAAGAGACCTGGTCATTAAGGGGGGTAAATCCTCAGGAGGGCAAGTGGTTAACATCTGACTATGCTGTGACTACTTGTTTGTGGCTTACTGCCACTTCAGGGGACTTCAATTACACAGCTCAATGCAAGTCACACAAAAGCAGTGCAAGAACCTTTTTTAAAGTCGCAGCTATTAAAATGTATGTCTGGGCCATAGATGTACATTGGATACAACTTGCCATGCAATTTCAGAGTGGCAAGTCGCATTGGTGTGAACCACGACTAACAGACCAAGAAGGGCTTTTTCTTTTCAAGAATATTACTTTGTAACACTAATGTTGTTCTGCATTTGAGGTCCATGCCAATAGCCTTAGATCTTCCTATTACACTGCCATTCTAATTGTCATCTAATTCCTGTTTACAATCACCTGAACAGTTCCTCAAATCTATTCCATGAGAAGAAGACTAAGGAAAAAGCTTTCTGTTCACTGCTTTATTTTTGTTATTTTTGGGTTAATGAAGTCACTTGCTCCAGATCTGAGCTGCCTGTTTTTTGGAGACTTTTCTCAAGTAACTCATTAACTAATCAATCACATTGCTGCACAGTTTTGACCCATTGGCCTTGCATCGATCACACCACTACAGGTTGTTTTTTTGCAGGAGTGCGGTAAAGCAGCTTCCAAATTAGTCCATGCTCCACAGGATTGCCTGCCTGATTTTATCAGTGTTAATTGTTTTCCAGTCAAGAACCTATCTATAAGAAAGAAAAGTTAAATAATAAAAGACTGCTAGGTGTAGAATGTCCAGTACCCATTGAGGTTTTCTAAGAGTCCCTCTATTTAAAGAGGACTTTTTTCCTAAAATATAAAAAAAAGATGTATGCATTTCTGCATGCTGAAGAACTTTAAAACACTTTAAAATTATATGCAAAAATAACTTTTTGTGTACATTTCAATTAGATTTTTGGAACTTTTGTATTTTCTGGAGCACTGATAACATAGCCAATGCCTTCCAGATGCCCCTGAGAAGGTTACGTCACCAATGGCTTCCAGTTGCCCCTGAGAAGGTTATGTCACCAGTGCCTTCCAGATGCCCCTGAGAAGGTTACGTCACCAGTGCCTTCCAGATGCCCCTGAGAAGGTTACGTCACCGGTGCCTTCCAGATGCCCCTGAGAAGGTTACGTCACCAGTGCCTTCCAGATGCCCCTGAAAAGGTTACGTCACCAGTGGCTTCCAGTTGCCCCTGAGAAGGTTACGTCACCAGTGCCTTCCAGATGCCCCTGAGAAGGTTACGTCACCAATGCCTTCCAGATGCCCCGAGAAGGTTACGTCACCAGTGCCTTCCAGGAAACTCTTATAGGTAAGAATTAGATTTTTGGAACTTTTGTATTTTCTGGAGCACTGGTAACATAGCCAATGCCTTCCAGATGCCCCTGAGAAGGTTACATCACCAGTGCCTTCCAGATGCCCCTGAAAAGGTTACATCACCAGTGCCTTCCAGATGCTCCTGAGAAGGTTACATCACCAGTGCCTTCCAGATGCCCCTGAGAAGGTTACGTCACCAGTGCCTTCCAGATGCCCCTGAGAAGGTTACATCACCAGTGCCTTCCAGATGCCCCTGAGAAGGTTACGTCACCAATGCCTTCCAGATGCCCCTGAGAAGGTTACGTCACCAGTGCCTTCCAGGAAACTCTTATAGGTAAGAATTAGATTTTTGGAACTTTTGTATTTTCTGGAGCACTGGTAACATAGCCAATGTCTTCCAGATGCCCCTGAGAAGGTTACGTCACCAGTGCCTTCCAGATGCCCCTGAAAATGTTACATCACCAGTGCCTTCCAGATGCTCCTGAGAAGGTTACATCACCAGTGCCTTCCAGATGCCCCTGAGAAGGTTACGTCACCAGTGCCTTCCAGATGCCCCTGAGAAGGTTACGTCACCAGTGCCTTCCAGATGCCCCTGAGAAGGTTACGTCACCAGTGCCTTCCAGATGCCCCTGAGAAGGTTACGTCACCAGTGCCTTCCAGGAAACTCTTATAGGTAAGAATTAAATTTTTGGAACTTTTGTATTTTCTGGAGCACTGGTAACATAGCCAATGTCTTCCAGATGCCCCTGAGAAGGTTACGTCACCAGTGCTTTCCAGATGCCCCTGAAAAGGTTACATCACCAGTGCCTTCCAGATGCTCCTGAGAAGGTTACATCACCAGTGCCTTCCAGATGCTCCTGAGAAGGTTACGTCACCAGTGCCTTCCAGATGCCCCTGAGAAAGTTACGTCACCAGTGCCTTCCAGATGCCCCTGAGAAGGTTACGTCACCAGTGCCTTCCAGATTCCCTTGAGAAGGTTACGTCACCTGTGCCTTCCATATACCCCTGAGAAGGTTAAGTCACCAGTGCCTTCCAGATGCCCCTGAGAAGGTTCCGTCACCAGTGCCTTCCAGGAAACTCTCATAGGTAAAATGCATGATCTTGTGAGATTAGATCCTGGGAAAAGGTTCATTAATTTTTATTTCTGCACAAATCTGGAATGGACATCACCAGTAAGGTGGCTCAGAGAGAAAGAAGGAAGAAGCCAGCCACTGATGACATCAATATATAAGACAGTTGTGTGTGTTTTACAGATAGGGTAGCCATGAGACATTGAAATTATTAGATTACTAAGGAAACTCATCATCATATTTTTTGTATGTTTGTTTATATTTTTATGCATGCTGGTGGAAAAGGAGGGGGTGTCCACATTAATCTCCTTTATTATGACATCTCTTCTTTTGGAAGAAGCCCATTGTATTTAATTTACACATATCAAGGTGACTCAGTTTTAAAACGTGAAGACATAAAAGAAAATTTACTCATCAAACATTTGTTGAAATTCAGAGCAATAAAAACTGTATGGCGCTCAATACTATAATAAATCTCGTGAATAATAAGTACATAGAATAACCTGCTGGTGGCCCTTTCCTTGATGATTCATTCCTCCACCAGAATGGCTAGCTGGGAGGGTATATGTGCTATTAGTCCCCCTTGCTCCAGTGTTTTGCTGCTACAGATCCTGTTGCATTTACCTGATCTTGCTCCTGCCTTGTACCCAGTACCCTGCTCCCCCTTTTTCCTTTTCCCAGTTTTTTCCCTTTATCTGCACTCTGCATCTCCAGTTTTTCCCTGTCTTTTTTGTGTCCCTTGAACAGGATAGTCTAATATTCTATCACTGGGTTTTTGGTTCAACTTATGACTGTTTGGTGTACACTGTGTTTGGGATGGTTTTCTTGTTTCATTGTAAATAAATCTCACTTAAAAGAAGTATTTTTAAAGCAAGGGAGGGATAAAAACCCCTGTCAGATTTTGTTTTCACTATCTGTGTCCCCATTGCAGAGATTTCCCTTCACTATTCTGTCCCATAGCAGGAAGTGAGAGGAAATTGTCCAAAAATTAAGATATTTCATTCGGGACCCCCAGGGCATGTGTCCCACAGGAAGATTTCCCCTCTATTAATTTTCAGGGGACAACCAAAATCTTTGAATTTCCTTTTACTTTTACTTTCTGCATACTAGAGGGTTTTAGCGCTAAAATGATTATAAAAGTGACAGTAATATGAAAAATGAATGATATTTGTCATAAAGTGACAATAAATATATAATAAAAAAGGATCACAATGCCAGCTCCAAGGAATTGAAAAATTACGCACTCACCATTGATCAAACTTTGATTTTTGAGCTTTTTAAGGTTTTATCTGTTTACCTTTTGTGCATAGCTGCTTTTACCAAGAGCACTCACGGATTTACATCCTTTTTATAAAAATTTACAAGCTTTCTAATCTCTACTCTATCCAAAACTTAAAAAAAGTTTTACCTTTTAGTTATACTTTAATCGCTTGCCCTCCTGAGGCTGCGGTACGGTGCTACGTTACTTTAACTGACAAACGGTCATGAATGCTGCACCCAAATAAAATTTAAGTCCTTTTTTTTCCATGAATAGAGCTTTTTTTCGGTGGTATTGAGCATTTTTTTTTGCAGCCTGATTTCTTTTGAGAACATTTGTGACTTTTTGCTATCAAACATGTCCAGTAAAAATGTCTTTGAGCCAATAGTGTTTTTATGTGAAAATTACAGCTTTTACAAATGGCGGTATATATACTGGGATAAGTGCAGCGATGCAGCGTCGTGCATTCTGACACTGGAGGGAACTGAATTGGTGTCACTGACATCCCCAGTGACACCTAATACAGTGATCAGTGCTAATAAAAAGCACTGACACTGTACTAATGGCACTGGGCAGAAAGGGGTTAACAGATGAAGGGTTAACTGTGTGCTGGTTTTTCTTCACTGTAAAGCACAGCTTTGTATGGCTGTGTTATGCAGAGTCAGTGTTTGGAAAACTGTTTTGTGTTCCCCTCCCCCGGAAAAGTTCGGCAATCAACATGCCGGGGCACCAGTCCCATCTGACAGCCGCGGGTGCAAATTGGGGTCCGTGCGCCCCTTACCTGCAAAATCACTAAGATTTTGCACACCCATGCTCTTTTAGCAGTACTTCAGCTATAGGGCATGAGAAGCAGTACAATTCCTGAAAGAAAGATAGAATGACCAGGGGCGGACTGACAACTCATAGGGCCCCCGGGCAATAGGGGATCATGGGGCCCCTGTGTCCTTGCCCAAACTCATAAAAGCTTATGAAAAAGGTACCAGGGGCATGTCATGGGGCAGCGTCCCTGATGGGGACCCTCTGTTTCCTCTTGTACCAAATTTTATTGGAACTGTCCATGTCTACCTTCATTGTGTAAAGTGCTGCACAAACTGTTGGGCTATATAAATCCTGTATAATAATAATAATAATTCCTGATGATTCATTCTGCAAATGCTAGCTGGGGCTATCATGCCAATCCTCTTGTTGCAGTACCTGTGAACAGATAACAACTTTTGACTTTATTGACTTGGTCTTTTTATTTGTACCATGGATTTTAATATTCTGCATGTGCAATAAATTGTGGTGATACTGGAGCTTCATTTCCTGTTTTCTGTCTCTTTGATTGACGTTTCTAATCTGCATACTGGTTTTAGGCGAGTGACTCAGGAAGTGTCAATGAGGATCAACATACTAGTCAGGAAAATTGTCATTCTCAAAAGGAGGCAAGCAATGGCCACCCCTACATTTCTCCTAATGTATTTTCTGCATTAGCTGAAGGGCACAAATATGGAATGCTGGAAGAATGACCCAATGATTTCTCTGTGGACCAGACTCTCGAGCAGGAGCCAGACTAGTTGTTTTTATGGAAAAAGCAGCTCTATGAATAGATAAGTGCAATGGAACATATCATACATTGCATCAATCAAATTGAGATATTTTTACAGGAAGAGGTCTTCCGTAAATACAGTGGTGTCATTTGGTTTTGTGCTGCCCTAGGCAAGACTAAAATCGGGCACCCCCATCTAAATTTGTCCTACCCCTTCCTGTCTAAGATCCACCTCTTCAGGACATGACAGGAGCATGATGAAGGACAGTGTGACATGGGAGGGGTACGGGACAGGAGGGGGGCAGCGTGATGGGGGGGCCGCAGAACAGGAGGGGGCAGCGGGACAAGAGGGGGGCAGTATGATGGGGGGGCATCAGGATAGGAGTAGGCTATCGGGACAGGTGGGGGGGTAGCAAGACAAGAGGGAGGCAGCATGAAAGGGGGAGGGCAGCAAGATGGGGGCAGTGTGGCGGAGAGCAGCATGGCGGGGGACAGCGTGACGGGGGACATCATGATGGGTGGGGAGGCAGCATGACAGGGTGGGCACAGGACAGGAGGGGCAGCGGGATCGGGAGTGGGAGCAGCAAGACAGGAGGGGGAGCAGCGGGACAGGAGGAGTGCAACAGGACAGGTGAGGGGCAGTGGGAGAGATGGGGGGTAGTGGGACATGTAGGGGACAGCAGGACAGGAGGAGAGAAGTGGACCAGGTGTGGGGCAGCAGTAAAGGAGGGGAAAGCAGAACAGGTGTGGAGCAGGGTGATGGGTGGGGGCAGCGTGACGGAGGGACAGGGAGACAGGAGTGGGGAAGTACCAGATCTCCAAGCTCTTACCTGTCCAGCAGCGACTCCTCCAGATGGTGTCAGGATCACTCCAGGAGGGGTGTCTGTGTCCCATCTGCCCCAGGAACTCCAGTGGCAGCTGCAAAACAGCAGGGGGCTCATCCAGCATGACCTCATCCTCTTCTTCTTCCTCCTCCACAAGCCCTACGCTGGCACCTCCTGGCCATCCTGCACATTCTGGCACACACTGACAGCAGGCCCCAGCCCTCACACGCTCCCAGTGCACACTGGGGATCCGCCCACCACTTCACCCTTCTCTACAGCCATTCCCTTGGCCCAGTTGACCCTACTTGTGTGTTGGTTTGGCTTAGCTGTACCCCCACCCATGGCAGCCCTGCTGCTGACACACACAGTGTCCCTTCTGCCTGGGGGGTGGCTCCGCCCTCCTGTAAACTGCCGCCCAAGGCAAATACCTTGTTTGCAACTCAGCAGATACGCCCCTGCGTAAATATCTACACTGGATGAACCTTATAAGCAGTCCTCTGTAAATCTCTGCACTGGATGAACCTCCTAAGCAGTCCTCTGTAAAATCTCTGCACTGGATGAACCTCCTAAGCAGTTACAACCTTGTCTGTGCAACTACTTTAAAATGATAGATTCCAGACAGCCTGTCGCTTAATATCAACCTGTACTCATCTAATTTGATAACCACAGGATATTTCATTCTGTTATCATAGATTGAAAAACAAATTAAAGAGTAACATTAAGGACAATATGATTTCAGTTCATTGTGTGGCGTTAGCACTTTGTGGGTTTTGCACGAAGACGGGATGTAAAAATGGAAAACAAAAGCGGAATAAAGATGCCACCTGTATCATATAATGTCTTTTCTTGCAATGATCTGTGAGCCCAGGAGTAGTGTTTGTATGATATTGTCATTTCAGCAGCATCCCACAGGGTACAACCTTAATTACTTGCAGTCAGCTAGAGATGAGATCAGAGAGGCAGTACAGACACAGAACCTTTAACTCAATGTTCCATCTCCATGGTGATCCCATTATTCAGACCTAAGGGGAGCCTCACCAGCTGACACTGCTGTTGTTGCACTCTATACTTTGAAATCCTTTCCCTTCTACTTAGATTCTACTGATGAGTCATTTTGTTTCACTGCGACCTTTTCTTACACTACCTGCTGGAACATCTTTTTCATGGATCTTCAGTGCAGAGGTCTTGTGCTGGAACCCATCCCAGGAAAGTTTTTACCTTTTTACATTTTTTCTTTACAGAAGATCAAATCAAGAAATAGAATAGACACTTTCAATTACACTGCTGGTTGTAAATAGTTTTTTTAATGTGATCAGTAGCAAGTTGTGAAGCTGTTCTGAAAATGGCTAGGGTGGCGACTATCTATATGACAGCTTTACCCAATGATGTCCAGTTTACAAATAATGCTTTTGTTAATTCAGTCTAAAGCTAAGTTGCAGTATGCGTGTTAGTGTATATGGCCTTGGTAAATAGAAAATTGCAAATAATTAAATTATACAGTATATACAGGTGCGTTCAAAATAATAGCAGTCAGACATCACTAACCAGAGCAATCACTGTTTTTGGTAGAAATGATATTTCTACATGGCAAATAATTTACTAGCAGCTGTAGTAGAGTAATAGAAATCCAACAGACCCAACAGTCATGACATGCATGCTGCTGATTCTCTGTAATTGAATCACTCATTGAAAGGGGCATGTTCAAAATAATAGCAGTGTGGAGTTCTATTAGTGAGGTCATTCATTCTTTGAAAAACAGGAGGCAATTATTGCCCTTATTTAAGGAAGGAAGGCAGCAAATGTTGTACATGCTGGTTACAGTGCATTTTTCTCTGAAATTCTGAAGATAATGGGTCGTTCCAGACATTGTTCAGAAGAACAGCGTACCTTGATTAAAAAGTTGATTGGAGAGGGGAAAACATATAAAGAAGTGCAGAAAATGATAGGCTGCTCAGCTATAATGATTGCAAATGCTTTAAAATGGCAACCAAAACCTGAAAGATGTGGAAGAAAGCGAAAAACTACCATTCGAATGGATAGAAGAATAGCCAAAATGGCAAGGACTCAGCCAACAATCAGCTCCAGGAAGATCAAAGAAGGTCTAAAGTTCCCTGTGAGTACTGTTACAATTAGAAGACGCCTATGTGAAGCCAAGCTATCTGCAAGAAGCCCCCGCAAAGTCCCACTGTTGAAAAAAAGACGTTCTGAAGAGGTTACAATTTGCCAAAGAGCACATTGACTGGCCTAAAGAGAAATGGCGCAACATTTTGTGGACTGAGGAAAGTAAGATTGTTCTTTTTGGGTCTAGTGGCCGGAGACAGTTTGTCAGACGACCCCCAAACACTGAATTCAAGCCACAGTACACTGTGAAGACATTGAAGCATGGTGGTGCAAGCATCATGATATGGGGATGTTTCTCATACTACGGTGTTGGGCCTGGTTATCGCATACCAGGGATCATGGATCAGTTTGAATACATCAGAATACTTGAAGAGGTCATGCTGCCTTATGCTGAAGAGGAAATGCCCTTGAAATGGGTGTTCCAACAAGACAACAACCCCAAACACACCAGTAAATGTGCAACATCTTGGTTCCAGACCAACATGGACGTTATGGAGTGGCCAGCCCAATCCCCGGATCTTAATCCAATAGAAAACTTGTGGGGTGACATCAACAATGCAGTTTCTGAGGCAAAACCAAGAAATAGAGAAGAACTGTGGAATGTAGTCCAATAATCCTGGGCTGGAATACTTGTTCACAGGTGCCAGAAGTTGGTTGACTCCATGCAACACAGATGTACAGCAGTTCTCAGAAACAGTGCGACTACAACTAAATATTAATTAAGTGATTCAAAGGAAAGCAAAATCTTCAAACAGTTTTCAGTTTATTTAGTGAATGTTTGAGTTTCTAAAGAAGAATACAAACACTGCTATTTTTTGAAAGGTCTAATATTCACTTTTCTTCAATTTTTTTAGAGGAACAACACAAATTTGATATATTTTTCTTCATGTTTTGATTTGGAATAGAATGTGTCATGTTCCCAATGCATTTGTGTGGATGGAAATAAAAGCTATTAGAAGGATTTTGAGCTTTATTCACTTTTTTCAACACACTGTTATTATTTTGAACACAACTGTGATATATATATATGTGTGTATATATATATATTTTTTTCTTTAAGATTACTTCCCTCCTGCTAGTTTGAAGTAATATCACTGCGTTCGTGATCCTGGCTTAATGTTGACAATACTACCCTCCTGAACCTTATTCAACCCCTTGATGTCTCCCCTTCCCATTCTTTCCTCCAGGTTGTACTTATTAAGTTCCTGAAGTCTCTCCTAATATGTTTAATCTCTAAGACCTTTCACCATTTTTGCTGCCCATCTCTGAACTTGTTCTATTTTATCAATACAGTATCTTTTTGTAAGTGAGGTTTCCAGAACTGGATATAATATTCTAAATGAGATCTAACTAAAGATCTTTATAGGTGGATTAGGACCTCCTTCCCCCTGCTGGTGACCCATCTAGTAATGCATCCTACAATTCTATTCACATTTCTCACTGCTTGGTCTCACTGTTGCTCAATTTGCAATCATCTGAAATAAGCATGCCCAAATATTTTTTCTTTGTAGAGCTAGCCAAGAAGTCCCAATTTTGTACTCTATCAAGGGATTCATTTTTTTAGATGTATTATTTTACATTTAGAAACATTGAACTGCCATTTCCACAGTTTTGACCAACCTTCCAGCAATGCCATATCATGTTCCACTTTACAAGTACCTCCAGGGATATTAACCTTATTGCACACCTTTGTGTCATCAACAAAAATACATACCTTACCCAACAACCCATTTGTTATATCACTTACATATAGGTTAAATAGAACAGTAGCTAGTATAGGGCCTTGGGGTACACCAATAGTGACTGGTCCAGTGAACCCCATTTACAACCACACTGGTATCTGTCCTTTAGCCAACTGCATAACCACTAATTCACCCAAGGGTTAAGTCCTAGCTTGTACAACTTTTCTATTAGATCATTAAGTGGGACTGTATCAAATGCCTTGTTGAACTCAAGATAGTCTATGTCCACAGCACCACCCTGGTTCAAAATATGTGTGATATAGGCAAAAAATTCAATCATATTAGTCTGACATAATCTGCCCTCAGTAAAGCCATGCTGCTTTGGATAAAGCAAATTGTGTCTTTTTAAGAGACCAGAAGAGATGATTATTCTTTTCCAGAGTGATTCCACTAACTTGACTACAACAGTTGTTAAACTCAAGGGCCTGTAATTGCCAGCTTCTACCTTGCTACCTTTTTTGTTCATAGGTATAATATAAGCTGCCTGCTAGTTATGGGGAATTTCTCCTGTTAGAAGAGATTGAGTAAAAAGATCAGATAATGGCAAAACAACTGTAGCTCGAAGTCCTCTTAGAACACGCATTCTATGTGTGTGCTCTGGGTGTGTATGTGGTAGGGGTTGCTGAAAAAAATAATTACCCTATATACTTGAGTATAAGCCGAGTTTTTCAGCACATTTTTTGTGCTGAAAAACGGCCCCCTTGGCTTATACTCGAGTCAACGTCTGCAGATGACATGCCGTCCCTGTCATCTGGACACACCCCCGGGATCAATCCTCGCCGCTCCCTCCCTCTCCCAAGGTACACACTTACCGGTCAGATGTCTTCCTTCTCCAGCCGCTCTCCTCCTCTTCACTCGCTCGATCTTCGCGGTGCCGCTCGGCTCCTCCTCTCCAAGCTCCACCTCCTCGCCGGTGATTGGGCACCTGTGTGCCTCTCCTGAGCTACAGTTCCGGCGGCCAATCACCGGCGAGGAGGTGGAGCTTGGAGAGTAGGAGCCGAGCGGCACCGCGAAGATCGAGCGAGTGAAGAGGAGGAGAGCGGCTGGAGAAGGAAGACATCTGACCGGTAAGTGTGTACCATGGGAGAGGGAGGGAGCGAGCGAGCCCAGGCTGGAGCAGGGGTCACCAACGATGGGGCACTATTCCTCCCCCCACTGACACCAACGATGGGGCACTATTCCTCCCTCCACTGACACCAACGATGGGGCACTATTCCTCCCCCCACTGACACCAACGATGGGGCACTATTCCTCCCCCCACTGACACCAACGATGGGGCACTATTCCTCCCCCCACTGACACCAAAGATGGGGCACTATTCCTCCCCCCACTGACACCAACGATGGGGCACTATTCCTCCCACACTGACACAAATGATGGGGCACTATTCCTCCCCCCACTGACACCCAACGATGGGGCAGTATTCCTCCCCCCCACTAACACCAACGATGGGGCACTATTCCTCCCACACTGACACCAATGATGGGGCACTATTCCTCCCCCCACTGACACCAACGATGGGGCACTATTCCTCCCACACTGACACCAATGATGGGGCACTATTCCTCCCCCCACTGACACCAACAATGGGGCACTATTCCTCCCGCCACTGACACCAATGATGGGGCACTATTCCTCCCCGCAACTGACACCAACGATGGGGCACTATTCCTCCCCCCTCAGCTTATACTCGAGTCAATAGTTTTTCCCAGTTTTTTGTGGTAAAATTAGGTACCTCGGCTTATATTCGGGTCGGCTTATACTTGAGTATATACGGTATATTTATTTGTTTTATTACAGCACATTTTTTACACTTTTCTTTAAATTGTTTTTCAATTATCTTTATTGCTATCATAAAGGGGCTAACAAGTCCCCTATAGACAGGAAAGAGGAACTCTTTGCGGAGACATTAGAGGTCACCCCCAATGCCTTCCTTGCCCTCCACTGCAGATAATCAAGCACTGATTATAGAGCCACTAGGATCACTTTTACATGAAAGCTGGGAGTTGGTTGTAAAAATCAATACTAACCAAGCTCACGGCAGCAGCAGTGAGCTTGTTTTAACCCCTTGAATATCTTGACATTTACAAACCTAACTTGGTAGATAAGAGATTAATCTGGGAGAAAATCTGGCACAGAATTTCAGACCTTAGATTTGATAGGAATCCCTATGCACTGTATGCAAGATGGGTGCTATTGAATTTTATAGCTATTTTTTTATTTTACTTACAAAGGTGAACAGTAAATATATAGGTTTTCATGCTATCACTTGCTCTGTGCCCCCCTTTTTTCCCATCATAATGGTGGTTTGGTAAATTAGGCCAACCATGTCACAAACTAAAACTTTAGATTCCTAAGAGTCTTTGCTGCTTTCTGACCTAGCCTCTGTTGGAGTGCCTCTGTATTTATAGTGAAAAATGCTGATGGGAGGAGTGAGCAGGGAGAAGACCTCATCAATATCTTGCTGCCTATTACATATTAATGTCCAATCAGTCTTGGAGATTGATTTGACCAGGGTTATTGACTAAGTTATGATGGTGCTGTACTGGTGGTTGAGGACTTTACTGTGCCGTATGCAAGGGTATCTGGATCTCAAAACTCTCTTCATAGCGTTACAAATTATGTGAAAACAGTTGCCACATGTAGTTCAGCTGTATATTTAGTTGTTTGGTTAACCCTTTGAGGACCGTAAGATTTTGGAACGCCAAAAGAATCAATTTTTTTGTTTTTAAAGTTCGTACACTTCAGTTGCTGTAACTAAGCCATTTCATGAAATAATTGGCAAAAATCTAGATCCATTTGTTGTTTGTTGATAAGAACTAATATTTTGACTCAAACCAAAAAAAAAAAGAGTTTTAAGTTCTTAATCAGATGATACACGCAATTACAAACATGGGACAAATAAGTCCCTTGGTCCTGAAAGGGTTAAAGTTTGTCTTTACATGATTTATTTTAAAAGAAAATGCATTCATAAAGCACAGTGATGTGGACTCTGTTGTCTTTGGGGACCTAAAGCTGGTGGAGAGCCTGATCTTGTGATCTGTCACATGACTCTGGCTATCCTCCACTTATAAAGTGCTCTGTACTCAATTAAACAACAAGCCCTCCTAGGGCTCTGCTGGCTGCACATTTGAAGCTTGAATTTTATACATGGGATGGGCCCCAGTGTGCATAGGGAAGGGCAATGTGATGAAGAGTGGATAGCAATATCTCTTCTTATAATTGAGCTCCAATACCTTGTTTAGCTTCATTTATTTAACAACCTAGATGATATAATGTGGATGTTCTACCATTTATATATAGTGTTAGCCTCTGGTGAACTGCAGAACCAACCCCCCACCCCCCACCGCCCCTTATTATAGGGATGAGGATATAGAGAAGTTTAGTTGTAGTATTAATTAGGAGCAGCTAGCCTACAATGTCGAAAGTGCTCCTCCAAAGCTGCAGTACTTTGTATTAGCATTGTCACTGTAGGAGAGGAACAGTGTGACTTGCAGGATTACCAGGCAAAAATAAAGGAAAAAACAGAAAAAAAGAAAACTTTTTCAGCCACCACATCGAAAGACTCATGACCTGCAATATTTTACATTTTGTTCTTGGATTTAGAAATCATTTAAAATAGAATTGGTCCACAATTAAAACATATGTGTGGAAGCACTTTATTATAAGCATACCTATACCTAAAGTTTCATTTTTTTGTTTAACTTTTGAAGCTTGTACATCTCTTAGTAAATGGATTTGGTATTTGTTTGGATTATCATATACGAGCCTTTAGCTGTACCTACTGTATTTTTTACTTTACTCACTCCTATGCCTCTTGGCAATCCTGAAGGAGGAGGTTCACTTTGGAAAAAGATTCAAAAGTCAGCAGCTACAAATCCTGTATATGCTTTGTGAATTGTCCTTCACTCTTTTGGGACCAGTCATGGGGGGGTTGGGAGAGAACTTCCACTCGGATTGCCTATGTGATCCAAGCAGAAGTGGGTGAAGGAACCTGTCAAAACTAAGTAACCCTCCCCCCCCCCCCGAAAAAAAAATGACAAGCCAAATATGGCAGGGGAGGAGGACTTAAAGCAGAACTTCCCTATTTGGGTGGAGTTCCCCTTGAACTCTGTTTGCTGCCTAAACATCAAAATGACTTTCAGCTGGAAATAAGTAGAGACTACAGTGGAAATTCACTTCAGTTCTCTCCATCATTTCACTATTTAGCACAGATACATTTCAAAAGATTACTGTTAACAAAATTTGTTGCTAAAGTACTTTTTTTATCTAAGTAGATATTTATGAAGCTCACAAAGGTGACCGAGCTTGGAGCAATTTCTACAGAATTGCTTTTCATGAGTCATATAAATCTTTCTAGTTTTCCAATTTGCTTTTTGTTCCTATTTATTTTATGTCTAATGAGATTTTTGACCATTTACTTAAATTAAGTACAATCTGACCTCTGATGACAGTGCTGCCATTTCTCAGACACAGGAGAGTGATTAAATGTTTGCAATATGGTGTAATAACATCAAGTTGCTGTAATACTTTTTCAACCTTTTTTACTCTCTGAAATCAACGATTCAAGTAATTTTATGAAGATGTCATCTTAAAGGATAATTAGATAAAATATAAAATAGCCAAAATGACTACTATATACAGTTGCAAGAAAAAGTATGTGAACCCCTTGGGATTACGTGAAGTTTTGCATGAATTGGGCATAAAATGTGCTCTAAACATCATCTAAGTCACAACAATAGAAGAACACAGTCTGCTGAACATAATACTACACAAACATTAGATGTTGCCATGGTTTAATTGCACATAACATGTAAACATTCACAGTGCAGGGAGGAAAAAGTATGTGAACCTTTGGACTTAATAACTGGTTGACCCTCCTTTGGCAGCAATAATCTCAACCAAATGGTTCCTGTAGTTGCAGATCAGACCTGCACAACGATCTGGAGTAATTTTGGACCACTCCTCTCTTCACAAAACTGTTTCAGTGTAGCAATATTCTTGGGATGTCTGGTGTGAATCGCTCTCTTAAGGTCATGCCACAGCATTTCAATTGGGTTGAGGTCAGGACTCTGACTGGGCCACTCCAGAAGGCGTATTCTGTGCTGTTGCAGCCATTGTTTTGTTGAATTACTTGTATGCTTTGGGTCATTGTCCTGTTGCATCACCCATTCCTCTGCGGAGCTTCAGTTGGCGGACAGTTGGTCGTACGTTTTCCTGCAAAATGTCTTGATAAACTCTGGAATTCATTTTCCCATCAATGACAACAATCCGTCCAGGCCCTGAGGCAGCAAAGCAGCCCCAAACCATGATGCTCCCTCCGCCATGTTTTACAGTGGGGATGAGATTTTGATGTTGGTGTGCTGTGCCTTTTTTTTCTCCACACATAGTGTTGTGTGTTCTTCCCAAACAACTCAATCTTGGTTTCATCTGTCCACAGTATATTTTGCCAGTAGTGCTGTGGAACATCCAGGTGCTCTTTTGCAAACTTCAAACGTGCTGCAATATTCTTTTTGGACAGCAATGGCTTCCTCCAAGGTGTCCTCCCATGTACTCCATTCTTGTTTAATGTTTTCCTTATTGTAGATGTGTCAACAAAAAGGTTAGCATGTGCCAGAGATTTCTGTAGGTCTTTAGCTGACACCCTGGGATTCCTCTTTACTTCATGCAGCATTCTGCGCTGTGCTCTTGCAGTCATTTTTACAGGACGACCGCGCCTAGGGAGAGTAGCAACAGTGCTATACTTTCTCCATTTGTAGACAGTCTGTCTTACCGTGGACACATGAACATCAAGGCTTTTGGAGATACTTTTGTAACCATTTCCAGCTTCATGCAAGTCAACAATTCTTGATCGTAGGTCTTCTGAGAGCTCTTTTCTGCGAGGCATGGTTCACATCAGACAGTGCTTCTTGAAACCAGTAAACCCAAAACAGGTGTGTGTTTTTTAAGGGTAGGACAGCTGTCAGCAACACATCCAATATCATCACACTGATTGGAGTCAAGGTTGGCTCACTCCTGGATCCAATTAGCTCTGGGAGAGGTCATTAAGCTAGGGCCTCACATACTTTTTCCTCCCTGCACTGTGAATGTTTACATGTTATGTACAATTAAAACCATGGCAACATCTAATGTTTGTGTAGTATTATGTTCAGCAGACTGTGTTCTTCTATTGGTGTGACTTAGATGACGTTCAGAGCACATTTTATGCCCAATTCATGCAAAACTCCACGTAATCCCAAGGGGTTCACATACTTTTTCTTGCAACTGTACAAGGAGAATTCCAGCAAGAAGCCACTTTTGTACTGGTCCTAAAGTAAACTTGCTTGCTTAAAAGTAAAAGTTAGAAAGTGATTTTCTTAATTTACCTTGAAGTTGAAGATTGTCATTGATATTTTCATTATGAGTTGATGCTGGTTTGATAAGTCACGCAGTTGTCTTCTTATACCTCTCAAAGAGTCTATCAGTACGATCCCCATGTCAATGATCATAACTTTGCCTTCTTGGCCATAGATGGTTATTCTGGCCTGTCTGGTTTTCGATTGTATAAACCATTGTATAAACATTTATAAATATATACTCCTGCGCCACAGAACAAACCCCTCCGACTAAAAAATATATAATATATATAT